AATTAAGTATTTTATTTCTATTTGTCATGGCTTAACTCCAGATGTAATCTCAGCCCCATGTAATCGCTTCTTCACTCACTGGTGGGGTGGTGAGGAGAATTGGAAGAGTGATAAAATTCATGGATTTAATAGCTCAAGCAAAAGCAGCACACATAAGCAAAGCAAAACAAGGAATTCATTCACCCCTTCCCATGGGCAAGCAGGCGTTCAGCCATCCCCACGGAAGCATGGCTCCATCACACGTAATGCTGCCTTGGGAAGACAAACACCATCCCTCCAGCCTTATTCTTCATCACTCCTCATTATTTTTCCCACAGCTTTACACCCCAGCCATGATGCCATTTAGCATGGTATGGGGTCAGCTGGGACCAGCTGATCTGGCTGTGTCCCCTCCCAGCCTCCTGTGAACCCCTGGCATCCTTGCTGGTGGGCTAGGGTGAGAGCCAGAAAAGGTCTTGGCTCTGTGCAAGCACTGCCCAGCTACAATGAAAACTTCCCTGAACTATCAACTTTTTTCAGTAGAAATCAAAACCACCTACTGAGAAGCAAATTAACTGCACCCCAGTCAAAACCAGCACAGAATTAGATTTATATTTTTCCTAACAATGAGACAAATCATAAGCTAAAGGGGAGTTCCTAGAACATAAACCAGTAGAAGCAAAAATCTGGTTTAAAAAATGTTTTCTAAACCTATGACTTCTAAAGTTCAAATCTCCCCTTGGTCTACAGATCTTTTTTTTTTCTTGGTATTACAGTCAAAACTTAAACAAAAAATTCATTATTTTTTATTTCCCAGCTTGCAAACTGTGACTTACAGAAGTGTAGGAGAGTTTTGAAGTTCCTACACTCTAAATGATGGGGGGCGTTAAATTTTCATGAACACAAAGCAGAAAAAATGATATTATAACATATCAATATTTGTGAAAAACTAATGGAGACAAATGTAAATATAACTTGTGTGATACTGTGCAATACTTCTTCAATAATTACTTATCAGAACTAAAGAGGCATCAGAAAAGTGAAAAAAAGAATGAACAGGAATGTGTCTTGAGTACTTTGACAAGTGGCATAAAGAAAACAAGAAATAAAAATGAAAAGATGAAAGCTAACCTACTTTAAAATAGTTATGAAAGCTTGCTTTTCTTTATTTTTTAAGAGTTGTTTAAACTGCTTATTTATAATTGAGCCTTTCAAATACACATGATTTGTTAGAGTAATATGTACTTCAGCTTTGTCTCTCTCTCTTTCTGTCTTCAGATTGACTGCTATTTGAAGGCCTTATTTTATATGGCTGGACTAATGCTATTGCACAAATTGCCACCTTTTCAAGGCTGTGATTTCAACCTGCCTGAAGACTGCCACTTTAGTACCACAATAAAAAATACCTTTTGTATAACAACTTTCTTCCTTTTAGGAAGAATAATGAAACAAAGCAACATAAAAAGGCACAACCATCCCTTTTCCCAGAAGAGTCAAGCTCTGGGGACATCTCCTCCCCTCTCACCTTCCAGAGTTTCAGAGCTGCTGCACTGACAGGGGCACGGCAGCACGCAGCTGCTGCGGCACTGCTCCCCCAGCACACCCTGTCCTGCCCCTGGGCTCTGCAGACAGCTGTCCCCAAAGCCAACCTCCCTATTCTGTGGGGTTTTCCAACACCCACACCCACTCCCCAGTTGCACTGGGGCTCCTTTTCTGCTTCCCCTGCCCAGCTTTCCAGGGTCCCATGGAGCTTCCTCCTCTTTTCTCTCCCAGTTTCCTCACTGGAGGCAGGTGACACCTCCTTCAATAAAATAGTCCCTGTGGGAGAACACAGGGATTTGGATACTTCAGGTGACTCCCTGGAGTGCAGGGTTGCATGGCTACACTGACCCCAGTGTGCATATCCCAGATTTTATCCATATATTAGGCTAAAAGTGGTTGCCTTCAGTGCTCTTAGATGTACAGGTCATGTCTGCCTAGCTGTGAGGTTTTGAGTTTATGTTGTAATTACCCAGTCAGAGATCCAATTTTAACTTGGCAAAAGATCCTACACTTCAATTCTTGTTGTTCATACAAAGGTCACTCTTTAAAAAAATTAATCAAAATTTCAGTCCCCCTAACCTGTATGAGAAGATGTTTAATTAAGTATTTTTGACTAATAGCCAGCTATCTTCAGCATGGATGTCCACTTTCACTGTCTTGACTCTGGTCTAATGGAGATGGTCAGCTTATTCCTTGCCAGAACAATTATTATTTCAACTACCAACTTCCCTTTTGCTTTCCATTCAACTGCATCCTATAAAATTAGGCTAATTCTTAGTCAAACTAAGCTAAAACAGAGAGAACTGTTTTGTGCACCTGACGGCTTTTATTTAAATAATAAGCTAATACAAAGTTCTCATAATGCAGACAAGACCCAGAGAAAACTCTTGAATAGGAAGCAGAATTTCATCTTCATCCAGATACAGAGTTATCCTTGCTACAGTTGACTTGAGGGGGATTCAGAGGAGAGAAACTTGGAGCTTATTTTTATGCTAAGTTTTTTCTGTGAATAAACAGAATTTCAGTCTCCAGGACCTTACATGGTACAGCATACAGTAGAAAATTTCTCATTAAAAATATTGTTAGAAGTTGCCTTCAGATGACAGATTTTCATTATTCTCTCTCCTAGTTCAGACTTCACTGAAGAAAACAACAAACATTTCTTACATATCTGCTATCTACATTTGGACTGCAACATATTGCAATTTGATTCTATGACATTAATGAAGTGGTCAGGTGTCAGTTCTGCAAGGGTCCTAGTGTCCGATACAATTAATCACTTAATATACCTACAAATCTGTCTAAACAGAGACTGAAGTAAAATAAAGGAGGGTGTTTAATTCTTTGCCCAGTAGGCTAGGATGAGCTGCAGTTTGTTGTTACGAAAGTGCTCTGAGGCTTTGCCCTTTTTGCTACAGAGCAGTGTCTTGAACCATCAGCTCCAGCTGATGATCCGTGTTCTATGTAACCAGGGGTGGGAGAGGGAGAGCTCTGACAAAGAGAGCCCTGCATGCTGAAGATCTCAGATTTTGTTCCAGAGTTTCATCATGTAACACATGAAAATGTCAGAACCATAAATTGGCTTCTCTCTGCTCTTTACCACAGACATAGCATTGCCTTCCCAAGGCCCTTATTTTCTTCTGCCTTGCTCTAGCCACAAGCAGCTGCTGCTGAGCAGCAATGCTCACAGGCTTTTGAGCTCAAAGGTAGGTCCATCATTTTAAGTTGTTCTTCTGCCATCAGCAATGGGGTGTACTGGTTGCTCACCTCAAGTCAGGGTTTAAACTACATAAGGCATAAAATATTTTAGGTTTAGACATGGCAAAGATTAAATTCTTTACTCAGAGGTAATGAGATGGTAGTTTGAAAGGAAGTACTTAATTATTAGCAGTCAGTTAATGAGAAAAGTCAATCTTAACTCCTTAGCAATTTGTCTAGAAATCCCCTAGCAATATGGAATTTCATTTTATTAGTGCAAACTATGGAAAAGTTTGACTTTTTCATATCCTTCAAAACTTATGTCTTGTATTTTAAAGTTTCTGAGAATTATTTAGTTGGTGAACATCTGACTGGAAGACATGATGCAATTTCAAGAGAAATATTTTTTTTTAAATTAGACAGGAGTCAATACTTTTTAATAGCAACAACCCAGCAGCCAAAGGAGTTTAGCACCTGCATCCTCCTAGGGAGCAATTTAAGTATTTGGGTTCTCACAATTAACAGGTGCTCATGAAGGTATTTAACTATGAAACATTAGTACCCAGCAGATTTTCATCATTCTCTTGAGTACCGATATTGCACGGATACCATTTCAATGGGGAAAAAAAACAACCAAAACAAAACAAACCTGAAAATTATACCTCGCCTAAAAATTTCAGATACAGTGCCAAATATGTTGCAAAATCCAGCCATGGTCACAAGTAGGGCACAGTGGATGTTGAAGTGCTACTGTGGCAGAGGGTTAGTGCAGCTGGGGCTGTTCTGGAACATCTGTAAAGCAAAATTCAGAAAAGAAGATTATACTGATATGTCATCTAATGCAGCTTAAAAATAAATAACTATATAAATAAATAACCTTTTGGACTCCAAGCCCTTGCTTAGATCCTGAACAAAAGTACCCCTAGCTTTTCTTGTGCATTTCTGTCCCAACACTCCTGCAGCAGTCATTTCATAACAGACCATGCTGTCCTGTTTTTCCTTTTGTATCAAAGAAGTATAAAGGAGAAAAACGCAACTATATTTAACTTCAGAACTGTCCATCAGCCATGCAAAAGCACAGGTAGGTATTTCAACTAGTAAACCGCGTACCACTTCGCTGCTAGGGCAGGCTGGCAGGGGAGCGCTAACGCACAGTACTGCGTGATGCTGCGGTGCGGGCAGCATCAGGCGGGCACACTGAACAAACGCTGCTCAGCCGCCCCTGCCCGCGCCCGGGGCGGCTCCGCAGGTGTACCCCGGCAGCGGGGCCGCGTCCCGCTCACCGTGGGGAGAGCGCCCAAAGCCGCACCGGGCTGCAGCTCGCAGCTCGCGTCCCGAACCGACGCCCCTGACACCGCCAAAAGTTTCAGTCGCCGGCGGGCGGGGCCGGCTCCCAGCGCGCCCGCCTTGCCCCGCTTCCCCGCCCGAGCGCCGCTCCGGGAGCGCGGCCGCGGCGGGGCCCTGCGGCAGAGCCGGGCTGCCCGCGCCCCGCACACCCTCCGGCGGCGGCAGGGGCGGGCAGGGCCGCTGCTCTGCCGCCCCCCGGCGGGCTCCGCGTCCCCGCCCTGCGCCCGCCCGCACCCGCGGCGTGGAGAGCGGCAGGGAGCGCGGCAGGGAGCGCCCCGTCCTGCCCGCCGGCCCCGGGGGCGCCCGGCCGCCATGTGAGAGCAGCGGGGCCCGCGGCGGAGCCCGTCCCCGGGGCGGCGGGGCCGCACCGGCTGCGGCCGCCGCGCCGCGCTGCGGGCTCGGCAGCTCTGCGGAGCCGAGCGGGCAGCAACAAGCCGCCCCGGCCGCCCGCGGCCCCGCCATGGGAGCCGGGCGCGGGCAGACCCGAGCCGGCCCGAGCCGCCGCCGGGGCTGAGCGCGGCGCCAGCGCAGGTACGGGGCTGGGAGGGAGGCACGGAGGCGTCGAGCCGGGCCACGGGGGAGCCGGACGGGCTGGGGAAGAGGCTGGCCCGGCTCCCTCACGGCTACACCGGGAGGGGTCGGGCGGCGCTGCCCGGCCCTCCGGAAAGTTTGGGCGGGCGGCGCGGAGCCCCGGCTCCCTTGCAGCGGCCGGGCCGGGCCGGGCAGCGGTGCCTGGCGGGCGGAGCGCGGTGCCCCGCGATGCCATCGCCGAGGGCCGGCGAGGCGGGCGGGTAGGGAGAGAGAGGCTTTTAAATGGCTTTGGGGAGCGGTACCGCGGAGGTGGGGTCGTGCCGGGAGGCTGCAGCGGCATTGCTTGTCGTGGCCGGAGTAGTGTACGTATTTTGGTTTGGGGGTTGTGGTGGGTTTTTTTTCCCCGATTTGGCGTGCAGTGTTTCAGGGAGAGGAGCCGGGAGCGCTGCCTAACTCCTGGAGGATGTGGGTTAAATGAACCTTGGCTGCGGAAACTCGGAGCGGCTCTACCTTGCCTTTCGAACACGGGCGAGGAAGAGGTGGTGTTATGTGATGGTTCGGGTAGTTCGGAAGGGAGGTAGTTTGTCTTTGCTCGCTTTAGTGTGCTTGGTTTTAGTTGTCTGTTACAGAAACGTGCTCGCTGGTAGGTATTTAAACAGAACCCAAACCAGCGTACTTCAGACTGAAAAAAGGGTTATTAAAAATCATCGTGTGTGCAGACAGTGACTAGCACTCAGCTGGGTAATTTTTGTTCCGGACCCTGCTAGATTTTGGGGAGCTTCATTTAATTCGTGGGGCGTCCGTCCTCGTCACATGTTGTCATTTGAAAGTTAAAAATAACCCCCCAAGCGCGCTGAGTTTTGCCTGCACCTGCCTTTGCCACCGCTGACTCCCCGGAGTTCTGCGCGGTGCTCTCTCGGAGCCGAAGACGCCCGGTCCGTGTCCAGAGCCCTGCTATATATAAGAGTTGGCAGAGCGGGGGAGGAGGAGGAGGGATGCAGCAGCAGGCTGTTTGCCTTTTGCATAAACTACCGAGGCAGGTTGCATATTGTTTGAGATGTTGCATCGGTGGAGGCGAGGCGGGGTGCGGGGGGGAAGAAGTGCAGAAGCTGAAGTATTCCTAATCCTTCTTTTCCTAGGGAGTGTGGCTTTACGAAGCGCTTCCCTCCGATGTGAATGCAGTGTCCCCTGTGGGATGCAGTAGGTGATGCCCAGCTCTACTGCAATGGCAATTGGAGCTTTCTCTAGTTCTCTTCTCGTAACCTGCTGCCTCATGGTTGCCCTCTGTAGCTCCACCGTTCCCATACAAAAACTGGCCAAGGCTCAAGACAAACAGGAGATAAAAGCGAGCCAGGAAAAGAGAGATCACACGTCTGCAAGGGACAGCCAGACGGGTCCAGGGAAAATGAATGAGATCGGCAGGAGCGGGAGGGAGGAGGGTAGCAGGGACTGGAAGAGCAAAGGAAACAGGAACTACTCGAACAAGGAGTCTTGGACTAAGCAAAAGCAGGCTTGGAACAGCCAGGGGACAAGCAGTAAATCTGGGATCATTCAAGTGCAAGAGCAAAGGGATGCTGCTCCTGAGGAACCTCAGGTGGCTGAAGATTCGTCTCTCCCAGCATCTGTTGCGAGCGTCACTCCCGAGCCCCCGGAGGAGTACGCCTATCCGGACTACCGCGGGAAGGGCTGCGTGGACGAGAGCGGCTTCGTCTATGCCATCGGGGAGAAGTTTGCGCCGGGCCCCTCCGCCTGCCCCTGCCTGTGCACTGAGGAGGGCCCGCTATGTATCCAGCCCGAGTGCCCCAGGCTCCACCCTCGCTGCATCCATGTGGACACCACGCAGTGCTGCCCGCAGTGCAAGGAGAGGAAGAACTACTGCGAGTTCCGAGGGAAAACCTACCAGACCCTAGAGGAGTTCATGGTAAGGAATGAAGCCAAAGGTCTTTTTGTGGGTTTTTCTCTTGTTTAAAGTGGTATTTTGGTCTTTAACTGTTTTCTCAGGGAGTGTTCTGTGTCTCTCCCTCCTCTTCACATCTTTGTGTTAATATTACTTCTGCAGTCCTGTAAAATATTCCCCTTAAACATGACCTTTCTTGCTCTATGGCACTCTAATATTTTTAAGTGAGGGTGCTGATCTTTATTAATTCCTTTGGTATTTACAGTAAAAAATGCTACTTGGAAGGATGCTGCTCAGTGGTGTTATGGATTTTGTGAAAATTTTCAGCAATTTGTTTCCTTATTTAACTATTAACTGTTAAACTTCTGCCTTGCAGGGATCAAGCAGGGTTTTGTGGGCTGACTTCTATTCCTAGTAATCAGTTTGTGATGATCCCTTCTTTTGTAACAGTCATTTCTTTTTCATTATTAACTATTTAGGTAGTGTCGCCAAGATTGCATAATGTTTGCTTTCTGTGGATGACTATAGGCCTTCTTTTTAACAATAGCATAGTTTGCAGTCTTGATTGCAGTGATACCTAAAGAAAGGACTTGAAAAGCTTCATGTTCAGGGAAATCCTTTCAGACTAGGGTCTTTTTAGCATTATTGTGCAAGGTTGTTACCATTGAAAATGCAGGATGTTACAGTGCACTCAAAAGTTTTGGAGTTGGGGCCAGTTTTCTGGTTGTTTACCTTGTCTTTTTCCATTTAGTATTTTATTGTGGTTGAGACCTGTGAGCAGGCTCTAAGATTGGCTTGTGAAATTTCTTGTGAGTGACTGTTAGATACAGGGCTGTTCCAAAACCCATTTCTGAATACACTGGAGAATTTCATACTGAATATATCGAGGGGAGTATGAAATATTATTCAAGGTTCTGGAAGCTGAGGCCCTCTCAGGGTAGAGAAATAGAAAGTGAGTATTTGAAGACTGAAAGTAAGTTGTCACCTTTGCTCTCTGGTATTTGCACGCTCCTGAAAACTTAGCTTTGGTTCATAATGTCTTTCCATGTTCTTCAGTTTAAGGGAAAATAAATAACTGAGCAGAACTACTTTCTCCATAATAAGAAAGAGCATTGTCATTTGCTCTCCTTAGGCAGTAATGCGCAGAGCACTGGTGAATTGCAAGGTATGGCAGAAAACATTGTATCATCCTCCCTATTTCCATGTAATCCTCAAAGGTTACATTCAACTTCAGGGTGAAGTTTTCTACTTCAGAGGGAGCAGCTACCGGAACAGCAGCTAGTTGGTGTGACCTTTTCAGAGATGGCTTTTGAGATCCTTTCTTTCCCAGTAAACTTAATTCTTGAGGAGTGACCAAAAGATGAAGCTTCTTCGCACCTTCTCCATAGGTCAGTGTTTTAAAGGCTTCTCCCTGCTTTTCATTCACACTCTTCTACGAAATTCTGTTTCTCAGCCTATTTCTGTAGTGGTGTTGTAGTAATGGCTGTAAAGCAATCCTAAAATACTGTGTTAAGTGTGTAGTAAGTGTAGAACCTTAATGTTCCCTGGTACATTTGAATAAGACTGACAGCCTTGGTAAAAATAGTGTTGAACAGTGACATTTATAGAAATGTTCTGAAAAGATTTTGGTTTTCAGCTTTCTTTTTAACTCCATTCAGCTTTTAGCCCTTGGCTTCAGATCTTCCTCTAAAGAAACATTACTGCTTTGCTTTACCTGGCTTTGGAAACACAAGTGAGAAGGGATGTCTGCTCAGTACAAACAAGGAAAGTTATTGATGCAATTAGGTGGTGGAGCAGCATCCTGATTATTTTCCTATGTGAGAACATTGTTTTTTAGTTGAGAGTCAGCATTGGTTCCAATATTTTGAGCACAAGCTGTAAGCTCTTTGCCCATGCCACTGCAATCAGTGGAGTTGTCTGGCAACACAAGGTGCAGGTGTAGTCAGGTTGCTGCTGCTCAGTGGAAGCAATTGTGAAATGCAAGCAACTGCACAGTTTCAAAGGTGATTTTGTGAGTTTAAACTTCATAGTCTTAGGCTGACCATGCAATCTCTTGATTAAGGTCAGGGAAGGAGCTATAAATGGATAGTGACGTGATTTTTCTCTGTATCTGCTCCTACTATTTGTGGCAAGAGTACCAGACATGACTGAAGGAAGAAAAAGGTGACCTCCTAACATTTAAGTGACATTTTTTGTACAAACATTTATGTATAGATGTATAATTATGCATGCAAGTTTTTGAGTCTGCTTATATCAAATTCCTATATGGCTTGGCATGGCAAAGAATTGCCCTGACTGGAGCCAGAAGCTCAGTGCACCAGGGAATTTGAGGTTTGATGTGTTTCTTCTTTGATTTGCAGTCCGTCCTTCAGGCATTGCTTGCGTGTGCATGTATGCATGCATTTTTGTGTTTTCAAAAAGGACATGGATGTCAGCACAAAACACAGCTTGGGTATAGGGAAAGGATGAAGTCTCATAAAGCTGTTTCCATCATCAACACTCTGGTCACCTGTGGGTATTGTGGGGCAGAATAGCAGTGTGATTGCAACATCCATATTAGTGGAACTGGTAGCAAAATCTTTATTTGGTGAAATGCAATGGATGTTAAAGTTCTGCACTGAAGCTGAAGATTTCTAAAGCACATAGTCCATATCTTCCAAATAAAATTTGAAAATTAAGGCTGATGTATAATGTCTTAAGAGAATGAGGAATTATCTTCAGAAGTGCAATGTTTTGGAAAAGACCTGTAATTCTGAAAGCTGTTGCTTTGTGTCTTTTAGAATTTCCTTGCTACCACAAGTGGTATTTGTTTTGTGGGTAAGTTACTTGGAAATCTGGAAGTCAACAAACCCAAATGAGTTTTAAAAGATCAGTGGTATTTTGAAGGCACAGAAGAGTAAAAGCATGGCTGCTGTGTTTATTATTGTCAGTGTAACCCCATTCATGTTCTCCTGGGTTGTGTCAGTGGCAAGAAAATATTAGTAAAAATTCCAGCATGAAAGAAAAGAAATTTGGGATTATGACAGGTTTTCTTTTTTTCAATTTAGAAGTTCTCAAGGCTTAAGGAACCAAATGTAGATTGTATATCTGTTATGAATCCAGCTTTTTGTTGGTTTTGTTTTGATGTCTTTTTGGTTTGTAATAAAGTTGGACATTTGGTAGGGGAAAGCTCAAATTACTTTGGACTGCAAATGACTCGTCACTTCTTAATTATGACAATTTACATTAAGGTGCTGGATAGACCTACTACCCTTACTAAGCTACAGCTTTCTTCACACCCCACTAGTGGAAAATGTAGCAGTTTACAAGCAAGCAGTTTGCACATTAGTTCATTTCCTCTTTTACAGTGCCTGCAACTCCTATACCTCTGCTCATAAACTTCCCTTTAAACAATTCTAAAGAGCTAGGGTTTTTTTTACCATCTGTAGTCTATTTTCTACAGGTTTTATGGCTGCCTGGTGAATACACAAGACTTCTGTTGCCTCTTGTTGTCTTCCTGCAGTTCTTTCATAGGTAGAACTGCTGCTACTACAGAGTTAACAGCTTCATCTGTAGACCATGGAGATGTGGTATCATTAGCTGTCAGAGAGAGATTGATATTATTTCTAGTCCAGCCTGGTTATGTCAGAAGTGCTGAGTGTGAGTGCTGCTGGTCTGGTCATTCCTCACAGGAACAGGTGGGATGCTCCTTGCAACGACTGCCACTGGGAACTGCGCTGCAGGGAATGCGCTTGCTCTGCATGAGTACAGAGGGGAAATGAAGGACCAAATGTGTCTTTTCATTCTGATTTATTTAGCTGCTGTTATTACATACAGGGACTGTCTTATTGTCTCTCTCTCTAGTGATAATTATGTCTCCAAGTATTAAGCTGCCATTAAGGTGCAGAAAGTGGGGGTTTTCTACAGTTCCTGCTGTATCCTGATGATCAGTAAAAAGCAATGTGTTTAGTCCAAGGATGAACAGATAATGGCTGACACTGATACCATTTTAGCAGCCACTATGGTTTACTTGCATGCCTGAAAAGAGCTTTGTAGAATAACCTCGTGGAGACCCTCCTTCCCACTGCCATTACTTGGGTTGGCGGGTTGTACAGATGACAGTACTTACCAAGAGTGTACTGTAAGTATTCCTCTGAAATCCTATGATCTATTACACTTGAAGTGTCTTCATTATTGCAGTATCACATTAACAGTGCACTCTTCACAAAATATGTAGTCTTCAGGTGTGTATGCTATATAGGACAGAAATGTGTATCATGAATCATCATTATTAGATAAGAATTAGACCAGTTTTGTTTCTCAACCAATAGTAAATTGCTTATTTTTTCTGAGAATTTCAGCCTTTGTCAAATTTGGAAATCTAGTAAACCTATATAATAAGAACATGCTTGAATTTTACAGAGGAGAGATTTTAGGAATAACATCTGTGTGTTGCCTTGTTTCCTGATTGTCATCAGATACTCTAGTTTTTACACCACTTCCAATATTGAATGACACAGCTAATAAGCAGTGTTCTGGACTAAGGAATATCTGTTTTGGTAGCTACTGATCTCATTCAGCTTTGATAGTTGGCAAATTTGCTTCTTTTCCAAGTCATGGCAAAAAGTGTCAAATTTGATTGAAAGCTGTAGGTTTGCCTTGTTGATCCTGATCCTTGGAACTGAGTGCTGGTATTTTTTTCAAGTAGGATTATATATTGTATGATATTTTTATATTAAAAATAATATTTGAAAAATAAATCCTCCTTAAAACCCATATTTTTATAATGTAGTAAGTATTGTTTCTAGATATAACTCTAGAAGGAGGGATTCTTCTTATTGAGTTAATACTTAGGAGCTCAGGTTTGCTGACACTCAAAACTTCACACGTGGTTCAAGTGATTACTCAAAATACCTGAGCCTTTCAACTCTGAGCATTGGATCAGAAACCTCCTCATCTGCTGACACTCCAGCTCTGGAAGTGAACGTGACAGTTTAAGAACAATTACAGGACAAAGTTGTCCTAAAGTCTGCAATAAAGATCTTCTGCACTGGACTATCAGCCTCCGTGTGGGATTTCCTAGACATATGCATGATGTTATCCTTGGTAGAGTGTAAAGCAAAGAGAAAATGCAAAGTGAGTAGCCAGCAAAGGAAACCTGAAATAAATAATAGTAATAAAAGCAGAAAGCAAGAGACAGCAGGAGACCCTATTTAGGCTTTCTTAGCATAGGGAAGGGCGTGAAAGATATCTGAGTACATAAGCGAATAACAGCCTTGGCAGGTGGGAAGGGAAGTAGCAAAGCATGAATGAGCATTTAGTTGGAGATGATGCTTTGCAAGCATCAGCATGTTTGAACTTTGGAAGTGAGAAGGATGTGAGAGGCAAGCAAGCAGAGAATGGATTTGAGGAAAAAATGTGATAGGCTGCCTGAAAAATAGGGAGAAGAAGCAGATGATCTGCAAGTTAGACATCTGGGTGATTCTTCAAGGCGAATAATTATTTTCTTCTTTAGATTTTATTTTTTCTTCTCTTATTGGAGAAGTGAAATGGGGGATTGTCTGCATCAGCTGGAATCTGGAATGAAAAACAGTCCATAAAAAGAACAACCTCCTCCTTAAGTAAATCAGTAATCTGCACAGATTTTAGATTTAGAGGATCACTAATAATAACGTTCAGCTGCATTTTCATCCTGTATTCTGAGCATGGGTACCCATGTGGTTTTTTGGAGTGCAGCAATGAGATTTACAGTATAGCATTTATTGCTCTCCAAATCCTTGCTTCCCTCTATCTTGTGTGGTATGAGGATATCAGCAATGCAGGTGAGATGTGTCTGGTCAGGAATGGTGAGGAGGACAGCTGGAATTGTACATTTGGCAAATGCAGACATTTCAAAGTCCATTTTTTACTAAAGAGAGTCTTGCTACTCTTTTGTTGGGAATTAATTTCTTTGAAGTAGGTCTTTCAAGTAAGTATCTCATGGTATTCCTATTCTGCAAGAGTTCTTCAAATGCAGTAACATTTTATTAGGTATAAAGGATTACCTGTATTTTCCTTCACCCCTTTCTTTGAATTTCAACTTTTTTCCAGAAAGTTACAAGTATTAGAAGAATTGTCCAAAAACAATTAACCTATGGGAAATAACTGAATTCAAAAGAATGGGTTTTTTTCCTGACTTCTCTTTGAAAAATATAATTTTCAATAAAATGTAACTTCCTGCTACCAAAATACTTTCAAACCTAAAAAAAAATACAGTAAGGACTACCATTACAAGAAGTCTCAAACTTCATTTAGCAAAACTTTTCTTGTTAAAATAAACTTTTTCTCTAAATTATTTTTGAATCTCTAATAGAACTGAACTAGATTATGAACTTAATTTTCAGGAAATTCATTAGAAATTCAGTAGGGTAATTTTTGTTTATTTTGTGTTAAAAGTCTTCACTGTTGTTGTTTTCAACATCCCTCTGACTTTCCCATTTGGTGTGTAGGTTCAGAGAAAAACCTGTTTTGTTTTGGTATCTTTTCCGCTGTTGTTCTATAATCTTGAAGGAGCCCAGTCTTGCTCTCTGCATTATTTAGGCCACAAAACCCATTTGTTTTAGAGTGGGGAGGGAAAAAGACGTGAAGGAAAGAACATTGCAGATGAGAGGGGAGCACTGCACACTCCAGGAGGGCATTAAGTGGAAGAGCTAAAGGGTGCCTGGGTTTGTGTTTCAGGTTTCTCCGTGTGAGAGGTGTCGCTGTGAGGGCAATGGCGAAGTGCTGTGCACGGTGTCAGCCTGTCCCCAGACCGAGTGCGTGGATCCCGTGTACGAGCCTGACCAGTGCTGCCCCATCTGCAAAAATGGTGAGTGGTGCCTGCAAAGCCAGGAGGAGGCCTCTGCCAGAGAGATCCATGGTGCCCTGTTCTGCTTTTGAAAAATTATTTAGATACTTGTCTTTTTCCTCGAATGGAGATGGAGTTGTTCATGGACGGTGTAATCCTGTTGTGAGGAATCAGATCTCCCTTGATTGTGGTGGACTCAATTATGACCTACATGGATGTTAGTATCAGCTATTGGTGTATCTCTTGTGGATATAGGTTGCATGAACTCATTGTGGTTATGTTTTATCTAGGTACACAAAATGGTACTCAGACTCTTCATATTATCCACCTTTCAACATGAGCAGGAAAAGCTACTTTTGTTCTCCATTCATATTTGTTTCCCTTTCAGATATTCTTCTCCTTTTCTTCTTTTTTTTTCCTTAAGGCAAATCAAACATACCTTATTGAGTTCATCTAATTTTCATAACTAAACGAATTAAACTCCCAAGTTTAATTGAATATTTTTTGTAACTAAATTAGACAGAAAGTCTCTCTACTCCCAGCAAGAGCTTGTATTAGATCAAAGTCTTAGTATATTTAGGCGAAAGAAATTACATGACATACTAGCTCATCACTTATAAAGAAGAAATGATAATTTATTAATAGAAATGAAAGCTGCAAAATCTCAAATGAAATTATATTTAAAATTAAAAATGACATTTAAAAATACTCAGATAATGTGCACACATCTATTATTTCTCTTGAATAGGTAGGTTTCATTACATTAGCTAAAACAAACTGCTTAAAATTGTGGGAAAGTTGGGGGAGGAGAGAGTGTACAGCATATGGTTTTCACAAATTCAACAGTAGATGATAAGAGATTGTTAATTGCATTGGAGGAGTTTCATTTGTATGGATATAAAAGTAATTGCTTCATATTCCTTAATTGGTTGTTACAACCCTGAAGGAATTTATTCTCGGCTGTAGAGCTTAAGGGCACTCTTGTTTCTGGAGATGAGGACAGGCATTTTTCAAGGCATTTAGGGACAGTTCCTAAGAAAGTCTGAATTTGGAAGCTGGTGATGTCATAGCTAGCTGGTCCAAAGGATCCTTCAGCACTTGTTTGATGGCAAGAGTGTCACTGACATTGTGCGTGACGTGCTCTGCTGCAGTTCCCCAGGTCAAAGTGACTTTAGCTGGCAAAAGGTCTGTTTTCAATATCAGGGATGGAGTTACAAGCAGAATGTGTTAAGACTCTGTAGTCTTTCTCACTGAGCTTGTCCAGTGGTCTTAACGGTGTTTGTAGCTGGGTTGACTGTCCATCAGACATTGACACATCTGAATGTGTTCCTCCACACATTCTCCCACAAGCAGCAATGTAATGCACAGTAGTGGCAATCTCCCATTGATGGCTCTCTTTTGGATTAAGGTGGTGTGGCAGTGCAGGGCTTGGCTTGGCTGTTCACACAGATTCCCTGACACTTTTCCCAGAAATGAGCAAAAGTTACCAAAATCTGTACATGAAACATGTACACTTTTGTTGTGAGGAAGCTGCCTTTTCAGAGCTGTTAAAAGGTGTATTACCTGAGTTCTACCAGCAAGAAAAGGATGATCTTGTCCTTAGCCTCTGAATCCCCAATATTACTTGTGTATTTCTCCCATATAACTGTGAGCTGGCATCTCTGACCCAGTTTCAGACCAAGGTGACCACTGCTGCCTGTTTCTACTCAGCTGTACTGTCACTTCTCTGCATGTCAGAGAACCAGCAGTGGCTTTCCTTGTTAGCTTTTAGATGAAGAAGAAAACCATTAGCAATAACAACAAGACCAAGATAGCTCAGAAGCAGCTCAGCTTTTCTGGATCAGCAGTTTCAGTGTAATACCACAAAGAAACTTCTGAGGAATCATCTCCACTGGGGGAGTGCATTTAAAAAAAAAAAAGGACTGTTTGCTTTTCGAGTTTGAAGTGTGGTACACGTGCAGCTCTCTAGGAACTTCAGTGAATTGCTCAATGTTTTTAATTAGATTGGAGCAAAAACCTACTGAGCAGGAAAACCTAGCCTGCCTCATCCTCTCATTTTCAAGCCTGCTGGAACAAATGTGCTGTGAATGTGGGTTGGAGAAACAATCATTGTGTTGTGCTTCAGGGTTGATTGTTACAGCGATGACATCAATGACATCGTGTTAGAGACACAAAAGGGCTCTGGGTGATGTACGGGGAGCTCAGCCATTTAACCTGAGTGATGGGAAAGGTGGAGCCATAGGAAGCATCCAAGTGAGGTAACTGCCATCATGATCTGCAGTAGAGCAAGAAGGGGTGGGAGGTGAAGTTTGGATTCTCTACTTTACTAGCATTGGTATATGCTTTACCAGCATTTGGATTCTTTACATTTACTAGCATTGGTGTGTTGAAAATGCACACAAATCAAACCAATTTCCTTCCCTTTTCTGCCACTTCTTAACATATAACCCCTTCCCAGCTTGCCTGGTGGCAGATTGCTGGCAGTGACCCAACAGTGAGAGCTGAGTGACTACCTCTGTCACTGGTAAGAACATACACAAATGCCCAATTGAGGAGTATGGAGGAGATCCAGTGAAAGCCTGTGATTATTAGAAATTAATGAATTCAGTATATTGACAGGTGTGAGATCCTGTGCCTTATCCCTTGTAGGAAGGCAGGTATGTAGTTGTCTTCTCTATTTTCACAAGTTTGCTGGAAGCCCTTACAAGGAGGGGCGGATGTGTAACTGCACATTGGGCTTACACAACTGCACATGTGGTGGTACAGACTTGCTTTGGATGTAAGCAGTGGTGAATGGAAGACTTGTGGAATTAAAGAGTAGTTGTATGTGTAGTATTTAATAATATTCTATATCACATCCTGACTTTCAAAAAGAAACCTGGATACTTCCATAGCTGAAAATAGTGCTTCTTCTTCATGGGAAGGAACAGGGAGTGCTTTAAAAGAACATTTGCTCTGAAAAGTAGTATATAGAAGAGACAAATGATAACACCTCACTGAGATCTTTGGATTAGGGGAATTTTCCTTCTTTTTATGCCTCAAGTCCCTGCAACTGAGGGAGCTGTTTTGTGTTTATCTTACATAAATGTCCTGAAAGGAAACAGCGTGAGGACAGAAGGGGATGGAGGAGAGGCTTCCTTCTCATGTGGATTACATGTTAAGCTTTATGCTTTTGGTAACCATCAGCACCAGCCACAAGAAAAAATCCAGAAAGTTAAATCTGACTTCAGAAAGTTACATTAAGTAACAGGTGCCCAGTTCAGATCTCCATCATGCTATAGAATATTAGCATTGTGGTTACTTTTGTGGAAGACATCCCTGTTCACAATGATATCAATAACCTTAGATTCAGGTACAGAAATTTCTACAGTTTGTGCAGAGTTAAGGGTAAAGATAATAGGCATACAGTCACTCTTTCATTGGGAAAAGTCTGAGTACTTGTCACTGATGCATTTGGTGTGGGCGGGGGGGGTAACACTAGTAGTGAATTGTCTTTCTCTAGATTACCTTGGTTGTGTGTTCTGCTTGTATTCCCAGCATTAGAGCCCTAGTAGACATACACAGCTGAGTTCTGCTTGGCCTAAGCCTGCAGCCATGGAGCAGCTGATGGAGTCAAGGGTGGCCCTGATCCTGACGGTGTGCTTGCAGGAAGATGAGATTAAACCCATAACCCATGCGGAGCCTGAGGGGGAATCATGGTTGCTAGACCAAAAAACATTTTGATCTAAGGTCCCCAAGAGATTTTTATTTCATTATATGGCTGAAAGATTGCCCCAGATAAAATGAAATGGATCCTGTTGCCCTCCTAGCATTCATCTATCTGTGTGTCAGTGTTGTTTCTCTGTCTACAGCGGGGAGAGCTGAGCTTCTCCTTTTGGCAAAGGCTCATAGCTGTACAGTTGAAAATAAAAACATTGATGCCTGGAGGGTCAAGTGTGTTCTCAGGGCTGTAACATTTGCAGGAGATGTCTATTCTTACTGGCTGTGCAATAGGGAGACTTCACTGATTGCAGTCCTTTCAGGTGCCTTAGGTCATTTCAGGACCTAATTTGATATTTGTGTTCATAGTTACGGTTGAAATACATGCATCATTTGGTTGAAATGCTTGCTGCTAGTGAGGTGCAGGTGTAATGTGCTATGGCTAGGGAGGGTGTGTGGTGATGGTTTTGTATCCCTGTGCTGAGGCTGACTCATTGAAACTTGCTTTAGTACCTTTCCATACAATTGCAGTGTTTAGGCCCAAGGTGACTTAAAAGTGCTTCTGAATGGCAAGTGGGGACCTCCATCTGAGAGAAGGAGCTCTCAAGGGAGCAAAACCCTGGCAATGGCTGGCAGAGCTGTTGTCTCCTTTTGCTACTGTTGGTAAAACAAGGCTTTGTCTCACCTCAGGACTCAGGTCTGTTAAACAATGGTGCTGGTTGATGCAGTACTGATGTCATACCTCTAAGATCCAGGTGGAGAGAGGCTACTTTGGGCTGAGAGACCTATCTGGCCATAAGAAAGAGGAGGATGTTTATTCTGGGCCCATGAAGGGAACTTGCACCTTGGCAGCTCTCATGTGAGCTGGCTGTTTGCTCTGCCCTGCAGCCCATCTTTGCTCAAGGACCATGGTGAATCTGACCTGTAAAATTTAATGTCCTTCTGCAGTGTGTTTAAATAAAATATGATATGACCTTGACCATAAATGCCTTAATCTCAGCAATGAAGAAAGTATCATCATGCTGGTGTCCAAGCAGAGGTCAAGGCAGGACTATTGCAAACATCCGGAATGTAACTGCTGTAAAATTTAAGTAATCCATGCTTTTGATTGTCCTCCCTTCCTTTTTCTATTGTCACTTTAAATACCTTTTTCAGTCATGCTTTGGCAGCTAATTTATATATAGCAAATGAGATCCAGAAGATTTATCGCCTGAGAGTGGATTCTTCAGTCTACATTATAAGAGGGAGATCAAATCAGGTGGTTATGGTGGCCTCTTCTAGATGTAAGATATAGGTACCATAAAATGATTGTAAGTTCTAGT